CTCGAGGGCTTCAAGCAGTGCACCTCCGACGAGAAGTACTTCGACAAGAAGAACCCAAACTTCCGCCGGCACCTGGACACCAAGCTGCAGGACTTCACGAACACGATCCACCCACCTGACAAGGTCGATGAGATCCTCGAGCAGGACAAATTGGCGGGTAAGCCTGTCCCTGAGGTCTACGCCGATTCGGACGAGGTGCAGGCACTCAGGAAGATGGGACAGGAGGCCGCGAATATAGCGAAGGCATGGGTCAGGAACATGCAATTCGACAAGGCCTTTACAGCGTCGTACGTGAGCTCCCTCACGTTTCTGCGCACGCCCCCTGTCGCAGACCTGCCGTTCCCAGGGTGGATGATGCAGGAGTACCTGGACAAGCAGGTGGAGGCCGTTGGGTAGACTCACGACGACGGTGACGAGGAGAGGGGGTTCAGGGCAGGGTAGTTGTTTTCTTCGAAACGAATGTCGGGCCTGTGAGGGGTAGAGCTTTAATAAGATTGAATATGTTATTGTTGTTGTGCTGTGTGTGATTGTGTGCTTGCCGTTTCGATGGGTTCGGGTCCGTGCTGGGCGATCGAACACTTTCGGGATCGACGTTGCACTGCTGGTCGTCCCTTTCCGCTGCTCCGCCAGGCTGCTTTACCCGACGGCAACGCCTGGGCCTTGCTGGAGCCGTCGAAGCTCGCGGAGGCGGGGCACACGTCGAAGCAGACGCAGGCGGTGACGGTCAACGACATGATCAAGATGAAGATCAGCATCGTGGTGCAGGACAAATCCGAGCACGCATGCGAGGACTTGATGCGCCTGTCCTCAGCGGTGCCCGTCTGGGCTTCGGACGAGTGCAAGGCCGACATGAAGGCTCTCAGCGTGTGCTTGTCCATGCTGGAGCCTGATGCAGCGCCGCTGGGTCCAGAGCAGGAGGAAGCCACCGCTGCTTTCCAGTCCATCAAGAGCGGGCGCATGATGCTGAGCGCGTACGTGAAGGAATGGCCACGGGGCAGGGATCTCCTAGACACGGCCGAGGCGCTCCTGCAGTCCTTGATCGAGGGGCATAAGTTGGCGAGGCGTGCGGTTAAGATGCTGACGGACGCGCACGCCCACTATGAGCAGGACAAAGCTGGCTGCCTCTACGACCGCGCCGTGAGCATCGCCGGGCACCTGGCCGCCATCTCGGGCTTGCTTGCAGACGCCACCGAGATCGACTTGAGGTACTTGCCATCCGCGATCGAGAGGCTCATGGATGACTACCTGGCCTGGACGGGCGATATGGTTTTGGACCTGTGCGAGGACAGCCTTATCGCCGCCGCCCTTCAGTCATTCACCAGCCTCTCCAGCCCCCTCCGCTGCCTCCTCTACCGTCGTCCCTCCGCCCCTTCCGCCCTCTCCTGTATCCCCTCCCTCCAAGCCCCGCCTCCCTCCCCGAGCGCCTGTCTAGGATATGGCGGTGACTGCATCTACGTGGCTGGATCACCCGCTCGACGCCGCGGGCTGGTTGGACGCGGCCTGGAACGATAAGCTCTCCGCGGTCAACGGCCTGGTCAGCAAATTGGAGACGATGCCGAAGGTGACCGACCGCATGAAGCAGGACTTGGATGCCGATGCGCACTTGCTGACGGCCAAGATGGTGCAGGGCGCCGCGAGCTGCATCAAGGACTTCAGCGATCCTGAGAATCGCGAGGCCGTTGCACAGGTGCCATCTGTCATGACCAAGCTTGCGAGGGACTTGCAGGACCATAAATCGTTCCACGACGAGCATGCCGTCCAGGCAGCTCTGGAGGCGATAGTCGGCAAGATCATGGCCCGCAGCGAGTTCGCGGATATCAAGGCGAGGGCTCAGTTGTTGCTAGCTGATCGCCTCAAGCAGTTCTGCGATATCAGTAAGGTGACCATGTTTGGCTGCTTTCCCTCGGATCATTTCTTTGATGTCGAGTGGGCCGGGGACATCGTCAAGAAGGACGACCACCTGGGGGCAAATAACCTCCTGGTTGGCCAGGGCTACTCTGTGGAGTTCACGGAGGACGCGAGGATGGCCTTCGCTGAGGCAGCGGCGGCGGTTCGCTTCGCAGAGGACAAGCTCATGACCCAGGTCGGTGCCATCACCAACATCGCTCGCGCGTGGCGGTGCGCCGTCCCGTTTCTCACGCAGAGCTGCGACCTCTCCGAGGAGGCCCTCGGGCTGTGGCTCCAGGGTCGCGACGCAGTGGCCAGCCTGGGCGGCACGGCCAACCGTATGCTGAGGCAGGTCGAGGACTCCACGGGGATGTCTTTCGACTGGGACACCGCGTCGGACCAAGGGAACTGAGAGGGCAAGGATACTGATGGTGAGGGGCGGGAGGACGAGGAGGAGGAGGTGGATGGGGGAGGAGGTCGAGGGGGGGAGGGAGGGCGAGGCGGGGGGGGGGAAGGGGAGGAGGAGGAGGAGGACAGGACAGGGATGAAGGAGGAGGAGGGGGAGGGAGCGGGGGAGGGGGGGGGGGTAAGCCCCCCGCTCCTCTCAGTCACCTTAGGGGCGAGGTTGGGGTGGGGCGCGTGTGGGGCCGAGGTAGCTTGTGGGGTACCCACAGGACCCGCGCTCGGACGGCTACCTCGGGAACTTGGAGAAGTACTTCGAGCTGACGCCGGCCGACCACGTCGAGCTGCTGGACGAGCTGCCGCTCGGCAAGGCAGTGTCGCAGACGTTGGTCGGCATGGAGAGGGTCCTAGGAGAGGTCCGCACTCGCTGGCAGGACGGCTTCGCAGCCGCCATCAGCAGGATCGTGGACTGGTCCCCAGACTGGGAGCCCGTGCAGAAGCAGCTGCTGAACGTGCCCTCGCACCCTATGTGCAAAGCCCTCGTCTGCAACCCACAGTTGCAGGACTTGGGGTCTCTGTGCACGGACCTTGACGCGCGGCTGCGGCTCGTGCGCAAGTTCCCCGGCCTGTGGTCCGACAACCTCGTGCGCCAGTGGGGCGTGAAGGTGCACCACGGGATGGTGACGTGCGCGTTGACGTACGTCATCTTCCACATGAAGTTTCTCTTCGGGAAGCTCAAGGGCCCGAAGAAATTGAAGGCTCCCCTGCCTACTCCCCCTACTCTTCTGCTTCGTAGCGCGGTAGTATGAGGGGAAGGCGGCAGAGGAGGAGGAGGAGGAGGGCGAGTAGGAGGAGAGGGGTGGCGCTGATGAGGGGGGGGGGGGGAGGAGAGGAGGAGAGGAGGAGAGGAGGGAGGAGGAGGAGGGAGGAGGCGGAGAGGAGGAGGAGGAGGAGGAGGAGGAGGAGGAGGAGGGAGGGGAGGGGAGGAGGAGGAGGAGGCGGAGGAGGCGGAGGCGGAGGCGGAGGCGGAGGAGTCGAGGAGGAGGAGGAGGTGGAGGAGGGGGAGGAGGAGGAGGAGGTGGCGGCCGCCAGGCCGCCGCGGATGCCTTGATCGCCGACCTGAAGGGCAAGGGCGCATGGGCCGCCATGCCCGCGCGCGTGCAGGCGGCCCTCGAGGGCGGCGGGAAGATCCCGACGACGGACGCCGAGGAGACCGAGAAGGCGTCGACAGGAGGCGGCCCCGCAGCTGCGGGCGCCGACTGCTGAGCAGCCGCAGCAGCAGCTGAGCAGCCGCAGCAGCAGCTGCACCAGCAGCGCCAGCCGCAGCAGCAGCAGCAGCCGCAGCAGCAGCTGCACCAGCAGCGCCAGCCGCAGCAGCAGCAGCCGCAGCAGCAGCTGGCCCAGCAGCGCCAGCCGCAGCAGCAGCAGCCGCAGCTGAGCGGCGGCTCAGAAGGGAGAGGAGGAGGAGGGAGAGCAGGCGGAGGGGGAGGAGGACTGAGAAGAGGAAGAGGAGGTGGAGGAGGTGGAGGAGGAGGAGGGGGGAGGAAGGAGGAGGAGGAGGAGGAGGAATTGGTAGGAGGAGGAGGGGGAGGAGGAGGGAGGGAGGAGGAGGAGAGGAGGAGGAGGAGGAGGAGGGGGAGGAGGAGGAGGAGGAGGAGGAGGAGGAGGAGGGGGAGGAGGAGGAGGAGAGGAGGAGGAGGAGGGGGATGGGGGAGGGGGATAGGAGGGAGGAGGAGGCGGAGGTCGAGGAAGAGGAGAAGAAGAGGAGGGGGAGGAGGAGGAGAAGGAGGCGGAGCAAAGGGAATTAATGAATGGCCCACCGGCGCTGCGCCAGGCGCGGCAGCACCCCGACTCCGCCTCCTGATCCGCTTGTCCTCCGCCTCCTGGTACTCCGTCTCATCCTTCTGATCCTCCTCCTCCTCCTCCTCCTCCTCCTCCTCCTCCTCCTCCTCCTCCTCCTCCTCCTCTTCCTCCTGATCCTCCTCCTCCTGATCATCCTTCCCCGCCGTCCTCTTCCTGATACTCGACCTGATCAGCGTCCAGATCGTCTTCATAATACTCGTCTTCCTGCCCCCCCTCCTCGTCCTCCTCCTGGGGCTGCCCCGCCCTGGTTTGGCCGATGGGCGCTGCCAGGCGGGCAGGTTCGGCCTGGCCTGCAGGCCGCCCGCCCGCACGCAGAGCGGGCTCGGCGACGCGCTAGGGAAAATATGCGGCCGTCGGGGGAAGATGCACATTGTCAGTGGAGATACAAGATTTGCAGCATATGTTTTTTGTATATAAAAATATTGATTATTGCATTTTCTCATTGGGAAACATTTTTCCGTTTCGATTTTCCAGAAAATGCAAGCGCATTTACAGGTCAAGAACACTTTGCGAAGAACGGGGCCGCTCAAGGAATGTAGGTGCGGAAGGCTGTTTGTCAGCCCTTTGGGCGGCCCGGAGCCCTTGGCCACATGCAGTGTTCCTCCTCGGCCTACCTGCCCCAGATGCCTTCGCCCATGGAGCTACGACAGGACACGGGGTCGATGGCGTCGACGCATGCGCGCAAACTTCCCGCGTATGGTAGCGCTGAAACGTTTTTTTTCCACACGATGTTCTTTACGGGCGGACCCCGTAAGTCACGGCGCAAGGTCCTCATGTCACCGTACCCAAGACCCTTCTTCTTTCCGTCCCCCGATTTGCTATCCCCCCCCCCCGTCCGACCTGATGAGGCGTCCGCCAGGGCGGCGTCCTGTGGGCCTCCCGGAGCGGCTGCGAGGCGCCGCTGGGGCCTGCCGGCTCGGGCGGCTGGCGGCAGGTGACGCTCGGCGGCGCCGCGTGCCACCTCAAGCTCAGCAGCTGGAGCGCCGCAGACTCTTGCCTTCTCGAGGCGTTTTCTTTTGGTCCCCTGGCGATCACGGGCGTGACCAGGGGGGAGGAGGATGGGGAGGGTCGAGCAGTGGCGCAGCGTCCCGGCTTGCCTCTAGGCCCACCAAAGAATGTTCTAAGAATCTTTCGTGGTCTGCACGAGATGGTCTTTGAATATTTTTTGCTGGGCTTATGTTCTAAGAACACTGTTTTTGTCATTAGAGCCTTTTGGGTTCTACGAACTTGTCGTGGTACGCCTATAGGAATGCCGGGACGGTCGGTCCCTGCTCAGGGGGGGGCGGGGCCAGTCATTGCCGTCAACTCGAGTACAGGCGGCCCGGATTAGTAGGTCGACCCTGCCAGATCAAGGGTACCCTCGTGTCCTGTGTCTCGCGACCACTGCCTCCTACGTTCCTATGGCAACGTGGCCCCCGGAAGGGTCTTGTGTCCTCTCGCGTGTCCTCTCCAATCAAGGTCGACTGCAACCGTGCAGGAATCGCGGTGGGAGGTGCTTCGCTGTGCTCGGCCTCTGGGGTGCCCTCGCGGGGCCCCAGGCAGACGACTCGGGATGACGAGCCGGGTCCCCGGGGAAGGGGTCCGGGCCCTCTGGGGAACCACGTTGTGAAGAATGCACGAGTTCGGCCATTGGGGTGGAAGGCCGGAACATTGCACAAATCCACACGCTCTCAAAGGCACCCGACATCCGACGTCGAGCTGATCTTTGTTGACGGCCCCAGGGGCCAGCAAGGGCCGAACACAGACATCCATGTTTTCCCTCGACGCGAATTGGTCCGATTTTTGGGTCTGAATTGGGATTTCCGTATGCAGTACAGGACGTGTTGGGCACCCATCGAATGCTATCGGCAAGGCGTTGTTGCTATAATGCACCCGGAGGCTAGAATACCTTCAGAAGCCGACAAAGGTCCGACAATCTCGAACGGAAACCAACGAGAGGAGATGGGGTCGGTAGTCATCGGCCCATACATCCGGCTCTTCGTTTTTGTTCCATGCGTGGGCCCCCATGCATTTTGACAATTTCCCCAGGTGGTAGCTTTTATCCCGAGTCAGTTTTGGACGGTCTCGAGGCCCGAATACGATTTCCAGTGGCCCAAGGTGGAGAAAAGTTGGCCGCTTCAATTCTTTCGAGGTGTTGGATGTCAGGGTCCCTTCGAGGAGCGCTCTCGGAGCGCTCTGGAGTGGCGGCGGCGCCTGGTACATCCTCCAAGCCCGCCAGCTCTCGAGATTTCTGATGTGTCGTGCTCTGATTTTGTCTTCGTCCTTGCTCTGTCTGACAGTTGGCACGAGGGTCGCAACCCCAGCTGCGGGAGGGGCAGCATCGTGTTCTGTGTGCTCGGGCTCCCCACCGTGGAATGCTACTCGTCAACAGGACTCATAATTATTCTTAAGTCGGGCCTATCCCTCTACAAGAGGGATGAAAAGTGAACAATGGTCAAAGAACAGTCTCGGGACAATGCTTAGACTATTTCAACGATGTTTTTGGCTCTCCTTCTCTTCCTCCTCCTCCATATCGATGCAGATCAGTCGGTCAGTCTCCTCCAACTCCTCCTCCTCCTCCTCCTCCTCCCTCCTCTGGTCAACCCACGCTCTTTCGTGGTGGCCATGCTTGTGCGTTTCACCAGGATCATGTTGCTCTAGTCGTATGGTTGCCGCCCTGCTTGCACGTCCCACCGTGGTGTGGGCAGTCGTTCGACGCACGGACCCCCAGAGGTCCGGACCCCTCCCCCAGGGCCGGCTCGTCGTCCAGGTCGATTTTTGTTCGGCCACGGGGCTCGTGGAGGGCCCCCGGAGGCCGAAAGCGGCCGAGCACTGGCCGCTCCAATTTCTTCGGAGCCTCGGATGCGGGCAATGTCTGTATCCACATGCAGTGCGTCTTGGAGTTTCGGGCTCTCTTCCCCAGAAACATGAGGCGCACTGCATACGGATTAGCATCTGGCCCCGAGATGCTCGATTTTACCCACATCCAGTGCGCCTCGGCCTTGCGGTGCCCCTTCCAAGAAAGTCCACGACGCACTGGATCTGGATATGGATAAAGGAATCCTGCCCGCATCAGACCTCTGGGGGTGCCTCCGAGGAACGCCCTGGACGTGTGGGGCGCAGCCGCGCCCCTGCGCCGCGCCGTGGAGCTGAGGCCGGGCTCGGTCGTGCTGCTGTCCTCCGCGGGCGGCGCGATGCCGCGCCTGGGCGTCGTTGAGCGCAGGCCTCGGGGCTCCCTGGGCTCACATCGGGCCTGTGCTTCCACAGGGGGAGTTACTCGAACCCGCGGTGGCCAGAACATCGCTCTCATGTTGGCCTGCTGACTGCATGCCCAGATCCCTGACCTCAGGGGCAACGATCAGAGCCCCGAATCATCAGGGGTAGCTCGGGTCAGGGGCTAACTCGGGTTCGTTTTTCGGGATGCCGAACCCGACTTACCCCGGACCCGACTTACCCCGGATAGTTCGGGCGCCCAGAGCCCCGAATCATCAGGGGTAGCTCGGGTCAGGGCTAACTCGGGTTGGTGTTTCGGGATGCCGAACCCGACTTGCCCCGGACCCGACTTACCCCGGATAGACAGGGGGATAAAAAGGCTCGGGGGGATGCATCGAGCGCCAGTCCCCCATCTGCCACCGGGAGGGGCCCGACGGCCCACCCCGCCCAGGAGCCCGCGGTTTCGCCGCCGGCGATTCCAGGTTGCCTTTCCCCTGGAGGAGGAGGAGGAGGAGGAGGAGGAGGAGGAGGAGGAGGAGGAGGAGGAGGAGATCGCTGTCCCCCTATCACCACCCCGCGCCGTGAGGTTGTCGGACGGGCTCGTTGGTGCTCGGGGTTCGCGCAGCCTCGTTGGTGCTGCGCCTCGCCGAGAGCGTTCGCGGGCGTGCCTGGCTCCTCCCCAGCGGTCGCCCCGAGATCCGAGCCGGGGCCCGCAGACCAGACCTCGCGTCGCAACCAGCATGGCGCGCCGGAGTCGGCTGGACTCCTCGTCGCCCCCCGGGGGGGGGCCTCGGGCCCGAGGGCTGCCAGAGAACGGCCCGAGGGGCGAAACGCCCTCGTTCACGGGGAGGGGTCTGGGACCTCCCGGCAGCCACGGCGGAGAACGCTGATGAGAACAAAACCACGGCGTCGGCGGTCGGGGTTGATGAGCGTGTTTTCCACCACCACCACCATAAGTTGGAGGGGGGGGTCCTCCTCCTCCTCCTCTTCCTCCTCCTCCTCCTCCTCCTCCTCCTCCTCCTCCTCCTCCTCCTCCTCCTCCTCCTCCCCCTTCGCCCCATCCAACTTATGGTGGTGGTGGTGGAAAACGCGCTCATCAGGGGTGCCCCTGGCCCAAGAGGTCGGCCACGCGCAGAGCGGGGCAGGGGCAGGGGGCGAAGGCTTCTCAGGAGCATCCCTGCTTCTTAGGCGGCGCGGGCCTTGTCTGCAGATGCAAGGCCGGCGCCCTCCAAGAAGCAGCCTCGTTTTGAGGAGCCTTTCCCCCTGCCCCTACCCCCCTGTGCGCGACGCCAACTGGCCCAAGAAGGCCCCCATCCAATTGGCAACCTTTGAGCCCCCTGGGCCCTCTGGGCATCGTGAGGGGTGCCCTGAAGGCCACCTGGCTGGGTCCACATTTGATCCGATTCAATTCCGATGTTCCGACGATCCGATGCGGCCTGACGCTTGCACGCCTCTTGCGCGGCTGATCCGATTCGACGCGCGCTCCAGTTCGACCCGATTGCCCGATCCTAGACATGCGACGTCCTGATGGTTCGAGACGCAGACCCCAGAAGTCCCGACCCTTTCCCCGGGACTGTTTTTTCATCTTGAGTAGTTTTTGACAGTCCTTGGGCCCGGCGAGGGCCCCCCGGGGCCGAAAACTACAAAAACCTCCCGTGCTGATTTTGGTCCCGACGCGAGCATGTCTGGGTTCTCCGATCCGATGCTGACCGATCCTGCCCGGGACCCGGAAATCTTGTGGACAGTTCGGGCCAGGGGACGTAGGCGGGACAAAATCTGTATAAACAAATCAACGTTGTGCTTCTGAAGATTTGGGCATGTATGGGCAATGGATGTGGAACAGAACAACCCAGGACATATTGGAGACACGGGAAGCCCTTGATTTTGTGTCGATCCCCCGGGCTTGGCATCGCTCGGACGTTTGCGTTTTCTCGGCGAGGACCGGCGAGGAGCATCTTGGGCCACGGTGCGACAAAAGCATGTGCGTTCTCATCGGCGAGGACCATCGGGGAGCCTGTTGGGGCTACCGTTCGAACAGTTGACACGCACGAAGCCGAAACACGCACGGGGAAATGGACGTCCGAGCTCCGAGGCGGGAATTTATCCATATCCACCGCCTGGAGGGTCAGTTTTCGGAACCTCGGCAGGCGGTGGACATGGATACATTCGGGCCCCCGAGGGCCGAAATATATCCATATCCACCTCCCGCTGGGGCACCAGGACGTCGGTTCCCAGGCGGTGGATAATTATGGATAGATCCCCGCCTCGCACGAGCGATGGCGCAAGCCGGGCCCTTCTTCTCCTTGCCTGGCGCCGCGCCCGAGCAGGGGCGGGGCCTTCCTGGCCGAGAGCATCCGCGTGCGCACGGCGCCGGGCTCAGGCCGTGCCCTGGATCGGGGGCGGCGTCGGTGGCCCACGCCGCCGCCGCCGCCGCCGTCGCCGTCGCCGCCGTCGTCGTCGTCGTCGTCGCCGTCGCCGTCGGCGTCGGCGTCGTCGTGGTCGTCTCTATGCCCTGGATCGGGGGCGGCGTCGGCGGCCCGCCTCGCCGACAGGATCGGCGAGGCGGGACGCGTGGATTGCAAAGGATAATTATTGCATATAGGATTTGGAAAGGAATCTTGGTGGAAAAAGTAGCGACGCCGGAATTTACGAGTCTCCCTGGGTCCGCCCGCATCATCCCAATTCCTCCCATATGCGCCCAGCAGGCTCCAGCTAAATTGGCCGTCCGAGAACCAAGTGGATATATTCAACCGAACATTTTGCGTTGCACGCTGAGATGCGCACGTGCGCTGTGGCGCCGACCCGCACGACAGGGGGAAAAGGTGAGGAAGGAGGAGGACGAAAACGAAGAAGAGGAGGAGGAGGAGGAGGACGTGGAGGTGGAGGAAGGAGGAGGGAAGAACGCCGCATTCTTTTATCCGCAATTCACTCGCATGGCGTGTAGCTTTCCGCAGCAGATCCTCACCGACATGCTCCTTCTACCTGTCCTGTGCACGCAGGCGCCGTGCTGTGCACCAGCGTTGCGTTGCACGCGGATGCGGTGGTGTAGACAGGCGCTGTGGTGTGCACAGGCGCTGCGTTGCGCGCAAATATTGCGGTGTACCCCCCCCATGACGCACGTCTTCGCCGAACATACAAAAAATGTGTTCTCGGAGCCTCGTTGGGGCCTCTTTTTTCTGGGGCCTCGTGGAGCGTCTTGGGGGCCTCTCTGGCGCCTCAGATGTCGGGGCCAAGTGTTCGAAATGTGTATTCGAGTTCCCCATGTTGGGCTTCCTTTTGAAGCCGTCCTGGAGCCCTCCTGGGCCGTTTTGGAGGCTCCTTGGGCCGTCTTGGGGCCCTCACGGGCCGTGTTGGGGCCCTCGTGGGGGTCGTTTGGGTTATCTTGGGTCGATATTGAAAGGCTTCTTGTCCCGTTGTGGGCGTCGTGAAAACTTGAGAGGCGAATGTGTTTAAAGACAGACTGAAAGGGGCCGAACGGTACTTCATCATCGTTGGCTGCGTGGCTGGATAAGGAATTTGTGGTGGGAGTTATGTTTGCTGTTGTTGTTGTTGGTGTTGTTGTTGTGGTGAGTTGGTTGGTTGGTTGGTCTGTTGTTGTTGTTGTTGTTGTTGTTGTTGTGGTTTTGGTTGGTTGGTTGACTGGCTGGCTGGTTGGTTGTTGTTGTTGCTGCTGTTGTTAATGTTGATGTTGTTGTTGGTGTTGGTGTTGGTGTTGTTGGTGGTTTTGATATTGTTGGTGTTGCTGTTGTTGTTGTTGTTGCTGGTGGCGGTGGTGCTTGTTTGGTGTTTGTTGTTTGTTGTTTGTTGTTCGTTGTTTGTTGTTTGTTGTTGTTGTTGATGTTGTTGCTGCTGTTGCTGTTGTTGTTGGTGTTGGTGTTGTCGCTGTTGCTATTGCTGTTGCTGCTGCTGCTGCTGTTGCGGCCGCTGCGGTTGTTGCTGTTGCTGTTGCTGTTGCTATTGTTGCGGCTGCTGCTGTTGCTGTTGCTGTTGCTGTTGCTGTTGATGTTGCTGCTGTTGTTGGTTTCGTTATTGTTATTGTTGTTGTTGCTGCACTTTCGTTTCCGAAGACTAATTATTGTTGATCCCCCCACCGGTGCATACTCTTTTTTGACAAGCAATGTGTGCCCCATCGACGCCCGCACCTTGTTACCTAACAGCGTTTGCTGATAGGTTTCTAGTAGGGTCAAAAGAGAGCATCATGACTCCTCAGGGGGGTCTGGGCGGGTGCCGGGAGGAGAACCGGGAAGAGAACCAGGAACAGAGCCGGGCTCGTTTTTCGTCAACAGTCACACACTTCGTGCTCTTCGACCTCCCAGAACTCCACTCCCGGGCTACATTTTGAGTGCCCGGAGCCAACTGTAGGCCACTTCGTGCGAGTTCCCAGAATTCCATTCCCGGGCCACATTTTGGATGCCCGGAGCCAACTGTAGGCCACTTCGTGCTCTTCGATTTCCCAGAATTCCATTCCCGGGCAACATTTTGGATGCCCGGAGCCAACTGTAGGCCATTTCGTGCTCTTCAAGTTCCCAGAACTCCGAGCTGTAGGCCAGAAGACTTGAGGCTGAGGCTGAAGGCAGGCAGGCTGAGGCTGAGGCAGGCTGAGGCTGAGGCTGAAGGGAGGCTGATGGCTGAGGCAGGCTGAGGCTGAGGCTGAGGCTGATGCAGGCTGAGGCTGAGGCAGGCTGAGGCTGAGGCCGAGGCTGAAGGCAGACTGAGGCTGAGGCTGAAGCAGGCTGAGGCTGAGGCTGAGGCAGGCTGAGGCTGAGGCAGGCTGAGGCTGAGGCTGAGGCAGGCTGAGGCTGAGGCTGTGACTGCGACTGCCGTTGCCGCTGCGACTGTCATCGCGAATGCGACTACGACTGCGAGAACAGCAGAATTCTACAACTGGATTTTCATGTGAATCTTAAGGGGAATGCTTTCAGATATGCTTCTACATATCGCTGTTAGGTTGCTTTGCCGGGATAATTTTTTTGACAGGGAAAGTCTTGATGCTCAAACTGGGCCCCTGGCCCCCGGGTTACAACAACAACGGCTCCCGCCTGAGACTTTCTCACAATTGAGCCAGGACTCCCGCTTCCGCCCGAGACTTCCTCGCATTGTATTCAAGAATCGCGCTCTCGCTTGGGACTTCCTTACAATTTATTCCGGAATCGCTCTTCTGGCGCTTTGGAGTTGCGCTCTCGCTGGAGACTTGCTTGCAATTTACTAAAGAATAGCGCCCTTGCGTGGGACTTTCTTTCAACTTGCTCAAGCGCCGCGCTCCCGACACGCAGGCACCCAGGGGTCGCGCCCGTTGCGGCCCCATGTGCGTGCCTTTCGTGGCCCCGCTGTCGCCGTTTGTGGCCCCCTCACTGTCATACGTGGCCCAGTTGCTACCCTCAGTGGCCCCATCGTTGCCTTCTGTGGCCCCGCAGTATCTGCCCTTCGTTGCCCCCGCTCGTTCGCGCTCTTCGTGGCCCCATACGCATTCCCTTCGTGTCCCCGCTGTCGCCCTTCGTGGCCTGCTTCGTGTCCTTCGTGGCCCTGCTGTCGTTCTCTCTCGCTTTCGCTCGTCGTCGCCGTCGTCGTCGCCGTCATCGTCGACGTCGTCGTCGTCGTGGTCGGTCCCCTGTCCGTCCCTCTTGGGGTCGGGTCGACGGTCCGCGGCCGCCCCGCCGAACAGCGCTGCCGCTGGCCAGGCCGACGGTCCGCGGCCGCCCCGCCGCTTGCCGGGGCGCGGCCTGCAGGGAAGAAAGGTATACCCCCCGAAAGGGTTTCGATCGAAGACGAAGAGGGCGGGTTCCGAGGGTTTGAGAAATACGCGCTATTGGACAGGCACTCGAGCAGATAAGGGCGAACAGTCTTAAAATTATTGTGTTTGTTGTTGTTGGTGTTGTTGTTGGTGGTGTTGTTGGTGTTGTTGATGTTGTTGTTGTTGCTGTTGATGTTGCTGTTGGTGTTGGTGTTGCTGTTGTTGTTGTTGTTGTTGTTGATGGTGCTGTTGTTGTTGATGTTATTGTTGGTGTTGGTGTTCGTGTTGGTGTTCGTGCTGTTGTTTTGGTGGTGTTGTTATTGCTGTTGGTGTTGATGTTGTTGTTGTTGTTGTTGTGTTTGGTGTTGCTGCTGTTGTTGTTGCTGTTGTTAATGTTGTTGTTGTTGTTGTTGTTGTTGCTGTTGTTGTTGTTGTATTTGTTGTTGTTGTTGTTGTTGGTGTTGTTGTTGTTGTTGTTGTTGTTGTTGTTGTTGTTATTGCTGTTGTCGTTGTTGTTGTTGTTGTTGTTGATTTTGTGTTTGGTGTTGTTGCTGCTGCTGTTGTTGTTGTTGTTGTTGAATTCTCATTCTTAAAGAACAATCATTGTTGGTCCCCACCCACCGGTGCACATTGATTTTTTAATTGAAGTGCCCCCCCCCGGGGCTCGCACCTTGTTTTTTTGTCAGGGAAAGTCTTGATGCTCAAACTGGCCCCCTGGCCCCAGGGTTACAACAACAACGGCTCCCGCTTAAGACTTCCTCACAATTTAGCCAGGACCCCCGCTCCCGCCCGAGACTTCCTCGCATTGTATTCAACAATCGCGCTCTCGCTTGGGACTTCCTTGCGATTTATTCAGGAATCGCTCCTCCTCTGCTCTGGAGTCGCGCTCTCGCTGGAGACTTGCTTCCAATTTTCTGAAGAATAGCGCCCTTGCGTTGGAATTTCTTGCAATTTACTCCAGCGCCGCGCTCCCGACACCCAGGCACCCAGGAGTCGCGCTCACGCTTGGAACTCCTTCGCAGATTACCTAGGAATCGGGATCTCGCTGCCCTTCGTGGCCCCGTTGCAGCCCTTCGTGGCCCCCTCGCTTTGTTTCGTGGCCCCGTTGCAGCCCTTCGTGGCCCTCTCGCTTTGTTTCGTGGCCCCGTTGCAGCCCCTCGTGGCCTCCTCGTTGCCCTTCGTGGCCCCGTTGCAGCCCTTCGTGGCCCCCTCGCTTTGATTGGCCCCGTTGCAGCCCTTCGTGGCCCCCTGTGCGTGGCCCCGTTGCAGCCCTTCGTGGCCCCGTTGCAGCCCTTCGTGGCCCCCTCGCTGCCCTTCGTGGCCCCGTTGCAGCCCTTCGTGGCCCCCTCGCTTTGTTTCGTGGCCCTATATATGCATGCCCTTTGTGGCCCCCGCTCGTTCGTGCCCGTGGTGGCCCCATATGCATGCCCTTCGTGGCCCCGCTGTCGCCCTTCGTGGCCCCCTCGCTGCCCTTCCCCTCCGTGGCCCCGTCCGTGCCCTCCGCGGCCCAACATACGTATGCCATTCGTGGCCCCCGCTCGTTCGCGCCCGTTGTGGCCCCATGTGCATGCCCTTCGTGGCCCCGCTGTCGCCGTTTGTGGCCTCCTCATTGTCCTACGTGGCCCAGGTGCTACCC